GCTAACAGCCAACTTCTTTTGATTCCCCACTTGTCCTATAATCTATAATACCTCTATATTCTCACACACATCCTATCTCATAAACATCACATCCTACCCACTCCCTTCTCTCTCTGTCCACCACTAGAAACTATAAACCCTCATGCAAACCTACTGGCTATATAGTAGAAAATAACTGTACACTTCTGTTTACAGCAGCAAAACTGTAAATGTCTAAATAGAATCTAATTAATTTATGGCTGCATATTAGTTGCATTAAACATTGATCTCCCCGTAAAAGGTGAGGTATTCATAACCTGCAGGGACACTATAAGATTATAGGGTAGAAACTACAATACCTCAGACTCACACTGCAAGAAAGAAAGACACATAGAGAACATGAAAAACCAAGGGAGGAAAATGCCACAAACAAACCAGGATACTATAATAACAGAATCCATTGATGTAGATGAAATGATCTGCAAATTAAAGAATGACCTGAGAGAGCAAATACAGGCAAAAATTGATCACTCCAACAAAGAGATAAGAGAGCAATTACAGGCAACTATTGATCCCAAGAACAAAGATATAAGAGAGACAGACAGCAAAAGATTACTTCAAGAAAGAGATAGAGGGGGTCAGGGTTGTTGATCAGTTGTAGAGCACTAGCCTAGCATATATGAGGCACTGGATTCGATCCCCAGGACCACATAAAAATAAACAAAATAAAGATATTGTGTCCATCTAAAACTAAAAAAAAAAAAAAATTAAAAAAAGAAATAGATAGAGATTTTGAAGGGGAAAAAAAACCCAGAAATCATAAACCAAATAAAAAACTTGATAGAAAGCATCACCAACAGATTAGATCATATGAAAGACAGAAGCTCAGACAATGAAGACAAAATGTTCAATCTTGAAAATCAAGTTTACCACACAATGAAGATAGTAAGAAATCATGAACAGAACATCCAAGAATTATGGGAAAATATCAAAAGACCAAATCTTAGATTTATTGAGATAGAGAAAAAAATGTATAATCTCTTCAATGAAATAATATCAGAAAATTTCCCATATGTGAAGAATGAATTGGAAAATCAAATATAAGAGGACACCAAATGTACAAAATTACAACAGATCTACACCAAAGCACATTATAATGAAAATGACTAGCATACAGAATAAGGGTAGAATTTTAAAGCCGCAAGACAGAAGAATCAGATTACATATAGGTGAGTCAAATTTGGATCTCAGCAGATTTTTCAACCCAAATCCTCAAGGCCAGAAAATCCTAGAATAACATACCAAGCTCTGAAAGAAAATGGATGCCAACCAAGAATCTTATATCCAACAAAATTAAGCTTCAGGGCTGATGACAAAATAAAAACCTTCCATGATAAACAAAAGTTAAAAGAATTTACAACAGGAAAGCTGCACTACAGAACATTCTTGGCAAAATATTCCATGAAGAAAAAATGAAAAAACAAAATCTGCAAAGGGAGGAACTATACTAATGGAAAGGCCAATCAAAGGATAAACAATGTCAAATTAAAAACCAAAAATAAACCAAAATGACCAGGAATACAAAACATATTCAAATAATAACCCTGAATGTGAATGGCCTAAACTCATCAATTAAAAGACACAGACTGGCAGACTGGATTTTATAAAAAGACCCAACAAATGCTGCCTTCAAGAGATTCATCTCAGGAAAAGACATCCACGAGCCCATGAAAGGTGAAAGGATGGGAAAAAATGTATCACTCACATGGACCATGCAAATAACCTGGGGTTTCTATCCTCATATATCAGATAAAGAGGACTTCAAAGTTAGTGAAAAGGATAAAGAAGGGCATTTCATACTACTCAAAGGAACCATACATCAACAAGATATAACAATCATAAATATCTATGCCCCAAACAATGGGATGTCTATGTATATCAAACTTCAAAAATCAAATAGACCACAACACAACACTGGGTGACTTTAACACACCTCTCTCACCACTGGATAGACCTTCTAAACAAAAACTAAACAAAGAAACTATAGAACCCAATAAAATAATCAATAATTTATACTTAACAGATATGTATGGAATATTCCATCAACGAGTGAATACACTTTTTTTTTCCCCAGCAGCACATGGATCCTTCTCCAAAATAGACCATATGTTATACCACAAAGAAACCACATCAGGAAGAAAAGAGGTAAAGTATTTAAAAGTGTTGGAAGGGAGAGATGCCATTCTAGAAATCTAGATACACTGTAATTACTCTTCCAAAGAAAAAGAGAAAAACAAAAATTGAGGAATTCACTGTCAGAAGCCATGTGCTGCAAGAAATTAAAAGTTGTTCTTCAGAGAAAGGAAAATGAAAGAGGTCAGAAACTCAGACACGATATACTCAAAGAAAGGAAAAAACTGGACAACAAGTAAGTGAAACGAAAATTGCATCTTTTATGTTTCTTAAATGATCTAAAAGATAACTATTTAAAGTAATAGTAAAAATGTCTGGTGATTAGAGCCTACAGATAAATGAAATGAATGGTAACAATATAATAAGGGAAAAGAAGAAGAAATTATGAATATTCTATTTAAGATACCTGTACTGCAAATGAAGTAGGATAGCAATGACAGAGTACTTTACACTAGCTAAAATTATGTTGCAAACACCAGGACAACAATTTTAAGAAATTTTTAATAAGTATAATTTATATGTTAAGAAAGGAGAAAAAATAGAATCACATAAATACTCAGTTAAAACTAGAGAACGGGGGTAGAGGTGTGAGCACTTGAAGCTTTGGGTTGAACCCCTAGCATGGGTTGGAGAGGGAGGGGTTTGGCTATAATATCACAAAGATAGCAGGGGTCAGGAGGGAGGGGCAGTAGGGGAACCAGAGACCACAAAGACCAAAGCTTGGAAAAGTATAATTAATAACTGCTTTCTGGGATTAGAGTACTGTACTGTGTAAATAGTGTAATAGGGAAATATCAGTAATGAACTTTTTTTATTGAAATAACTAAATAAGGTTTCTTTTAATAACTTTTTATAGGAAAAGAAGAAATCAAATGACTAAACATAATTATTTCAGAATTATTGCTAGAAAATAATTTGCATAATTTTATTAGATTTTTCCAGGAAAATAAATTATTCAAGGCATTTTAAGAAAAGCATATTTTTATAGATAAAATAAAACTCATTATAAGGATGAAGGTCAAAAAAGCTGCTGCTAGCATACAGGAAACCAGAAAACAGAGATCACACCACAACTCTGATGACGATTTCAGTTTCCTCAGCAAAAAAGGGAGTTCTTTCCAAGACATTACTGGACATTATGAGTATGAGTAATTCAGACAATCACAACATGTTATTCTCTTCTATCTTACAAAACATATAAAAAACCTTTCTTTTATGAGAATCTGAAACTGGAATCCTGCTGACAATGGGATCTACAACACATTCCAGGCTTCCAGCTGCAGAAAACAAGGACTGTGATGAATGATCATTATCTAATACCATTTGTCTTCTACCCTCCATATAAAATATCAGTCAAATATGCAAATAAGTCACATGTAAATAAATGGCTATCCTAAGATATTCTGTAAAATGGGACAATGTTCCATCCCATGTCCCATGCCTGTCATGCTGAACACTGGTAAAATTAATATTCTAGAATTTGGAAATAATATGTGATATAGTACCCAATTTCTTTTTTTTATTTTTTAATTAATAAATGATAGCAGAATGCATTTCAATTATTATTATACATATACAGCACAATTTTTTAAAATGAAAAGAAATAATTGCTTAAAATAAAACATAGGAATATTTTAGAAGAAAAACAGACATGGACAGAAGTAATAAATCAGAGAAAGAGAAAGCCACCAATCTCCTCTTCCCAATTATATATTTTCTCATAAATATAGATAAAAAACCTAACATAAAAGAGACCATAAATGATGCACTATGGGTCTCAAATATAACAAATAGAAAGAAAATGTAATACTGTCACAAATAAACAAGTTTAGAATGTTAATAACATTATTCCTGGAAGTGCCTTCTGTTTTACAACCCTAAATACATTTAACAACTTCAAATGGAAAATTACCTCCAACCTTCTAATGTCAAAATACAGCTGTTGCCATTATATAGCAAAATGGAGAATGTAAGCCATAAATGGTTTTATGATTTTTGTTTATTACAGCCTTAAGATACTTGCACATTTATGTACATGTATAGTTTATTAAATATATTCTATGGACTTGTAAAAAATATACAACAGTCAAATCTAAATTGGTTATAATTGGAATCCTTAATCTCAAATAAAGGACTTTCCCCACACAATTCGAAAGTAACTTTAAGCTACTGGATTTTCTTCCTTTCCTTAGCCTCAGAACATGATTTCCTAAATGAAAATAACATGTTAGTCTATGGAAAAAGAGCAAAAGTAGAAGTCTCAAGACTAAGCTCCACCCTTCATTCATCAGTCAATGAATTGAATTCAGTTAATGTAATTGCTCAGAAGTCTAAGTTTCAATTCTCATAAAGTTAGATAGGTAAGAGATTTAAAAATTGAAAGGGCTCTGAAAACTATGAATTGCTACTTAAATATTACAGAAGTATAAAGCAAAGAAATAAATGATAAATAAATATCTACACCATTCCTAACATTTTCATTGTGTTTAAGTACCACTGTTACATTATCTCCTTTCAGGAAGTTTAATTCTAATGGAGGAAAATATCACAGAATTGAGATTTTTACATCATAGTCTCAAATGTCATCAATAAGGGAGGTATATATTTTAATCTTCCTCTAAACTATAAATTCTCTAAGTGATTGGGGTTCTAATGAATAAAATAAAGTAGGCTAAGAACACTTAAAAAAAAAATCAAGACACAAATTACCATTTCAAACTTTGGGGGTTTATTATTCCACTTGTAAATTATTCCATATAAACACCCTAGACTTACCTACTGTGCTTTTAATTAAAACAAAGTAAGAAAATGAGAAACTTTTTGTTAACCTTTTTCAGCTGCGATTCCATTTTCAAACATTCCTCCTTCTTCTGTTCCAGAGCAATCTCCAGTGTCTTGAGTCTTGAGTCCTTTTTCAGGCCTGAGGAAGCCAGGGAAGAAGCATGCTCTTTCAGATCCAAGAGTGAAGCCTAAAAGAAGCAAGAAAACCTAGAATAAATATGCAGATTGAAAATTTGAAATTTACTATCATGGTGGCTTGCAGTTTCTTTCCATTTCAAGAACATTCCTGAACTATAAAACAATATTAGCTTTAGCTTTTATGTATTAATTAAAATAAGATGGATTTCTAAGAACAGTGACTTTGAGTTATAACTATACATACTCTTTCCCACAAAACAAAAGTAGATCAAGCTTTGTGAATATAAGGAGTCAACTTTAATAGCTTCATAAACTTAAAACATTTTTTTCCTTCTAAAGGAAATATTCTATTAGGAACTCACTTCCACAAATTTTCCTAAAGGTATTGGAAAGAAATTCAGAGACACCCTAAAGCTCTTTCATTATTGTTTTATGACATGTAACAGGTTTTAGTTACTTTAGAATATATAAAAATACCATTAACAAGTAAGAAACCATCACAAAACATGATGAAAGAGAGAGCAAAACTTAGAGAATAAATAAACCAATTTTATTATGTCTTTGCAAAACTCCTGAAATATCCTTTGAGTCATTCACAAAAAGCCTGCTGTAAGAGTATTAAAATCTTCCATCAAATACTTTTCATATATAAAACATAAACAACAAAACATACATACAACAATGCAATAACTAAGCAAACCAAATAATTCCATTTTAGTGATTTTAACTAACCTCTTTCTCTGAGAGGTCGCCTTGCAACAGGCTGACTTTTTCTTTCAAGTCTTTAAGATCTTTTTTGTAGTTATCAATTTCCTCTTGCTTCTCTCGCTCATCTCTGTCCCGCTGTTCCTTTAAGCGTTCAATTGTTCGCTCCTGAAGACAAAACACATCAATACATGAGGAAATTCCTTTCTGTGCTTAATATGACTGTAATTCTACTTTTAGCTGATAAAGTGACACTTCTATCCTCTGTTCAAAAGACTGGTAAATTTTTTAACAATTCACTTTTTTAAAATTTATTCTTCCTTCCTTTATTGTCATAACAAAGCTCCGGCTTTGCTTTTTTTGACTTCCAGTTTTCTTTTCCTATAATTTCAAATATTCAGATATCACCAATATAGTCTCTTGAAATATTCCCATTTAAATTCAATTCCCAAATAACTAAAAATTTCCATACTCACCCATAGGACAAAAACTAATATTTCTTATTTATAATTCACACATTGACTACAAGTCAATGGAAATCACAATTCACACATCAAGAAAAGGGAAGGGAAGAGACTATGAAATGTTAAGCCTAAAGTATACAGGAGGGTAAAGAAAAGAAAAATTATTTAAAATTATGTCTGTCAACAGATGCTCAGGAAGTTACAAAGTTGAGCAATGTTAAGTACATTTCCAAGTGATATTTCTAAGTATATTAAGGGAGGAAGGCTTGATCCTAGCATATTATCCTGAAGCCTTCTGAGTCAAGGAGACTTAAGGAACAGTGACCCTGGCTCTTTAAAATAATCCAATTAAAATGTTGCATAGAGATTATCCAAACCACCTTCTAAGACATTAACATTGGCCAGCCAGAAGCAACTTAAAATCCCAGCAAGTTAGGAGACTGAGCCGGGAGGACTCCAAGTTCAAAGCCAGCCTTAATGAGACCCTATGCAACTTAGTGAGACCCTGTCTCAAAAAATGAAAATGGACTGGGAATGTAGCTCAGTGGTAAGGCACCCCTAAGGTTCAATCCTCAATACCACCCACTGCCCAAAAAATACATTAACACTGGCCAGAATAGGCTAGTTCTTTAGTCAACCATTTATGAAAAATAACGTTTACTCATAAAGCAGTATAAAGTAGGAAGGTCCAGACTAGAAAATTAATAAGAACATTATATTAATGAATAAAATCTAAGAAAATATTAGGCACCAAAGTAAACAGTAAAGGAGGAAGACTATGTATTGCCTCCTGGTATAGTTAATGTCTGGTAATGTCTCACATTCCCACATTCTAGTTGACCATATTAATAAAAAGAAATTTTCTTTTTCTTCAGAAAGCAGCAAATGAGGATCATAAGGCTCATTCTTTAGAAAAATCAGCCAGTGCCCTCTAGCATGGAATCCATCTTACCTGGGAGCAGGCGCTTAAATTGACAAGAACTAAATGGATTTGCTTTCCCCTTTACACTAAGTATACTGGCAACAGTACAGTAGAGTTCTTTTTCCTTTTGCTAAAAAGGATCTCTTCTGTATTCTATATGCAGTTTTCAATTAATGAGAAATCAAGAGAAACATGACTGTGAAGTGTCCAGACCCTTCACTTTATCTTCAAGACTCACTTTCTCTGCAAGGGCCTCCTCCAAAGTCGTAAGGGCAGTGTCGGTGTTGGTGGTGTCAGCCTGCAAGGATTTGACTCGTTCTTTCAAGCTGCTCATCTGCTTTTCCTTATCTCTAAGTTGCTCTTGAAGATTTTCAATCTGTATGCATTTCCATTAAAAAGAAAAAAAGACATTAAGAAAAACGGATATACATACTACAAAAATCACTGAAAGTTAGATCAGAGTTGTCTATGTGTGTTCTGTGGAAATCCTTTAATCCTAAAACTTTCAGAATAACATGCAAAACCTTAAGACTAAAATTTACAGCCAGAACAAAGAAAAAGCATACACACAGATATGGATATATATATATATATATATATATATATATATATATACACACACACACACACACACACACACACACACACATACACACACACACACACACACAAATCCCTAAAAAAATAAAGAAGGCAGCTGAGAGAAAGATGCAACACAAGAGATGGAAGTGCAGACAGGTATTGCATAGGAAAGCCACAAGAGTGGGATTAACTTCTAAAATGACACTACAACTGTCAAGAAGGATTACTTCACAAATAATCGGGAACAGAATATAGAACAGCTAGACAGTAAGAAAGACAAATCAGCTACATAAAGAAAAAACTGTTCTTAAATGCTAGTGTTGTTAGATTTTATATCATCCTTTATCAAAACAACATTTCCAGTAAAAGTTCTTATTGTCATGCATTCCTTCATACATACATGCATTCACTTACTAAAAAAAACTTATTGAGTTCTTTATTATATGTCAGACACGAGTAACACCAAGAAAAATAAAGAGACCCATTTTTATTATATGGTGACATGGAAAGAGAGTTCCCCGTTATATAGCTGAAGCTAAGCAACAGATAAGTTTATATGCCTTCTAAGGAGAATTTATGGTAGAAAGCTAGAAATCATTAGAGATTACTAAGCACAGAAATGGCCTGGCTATTTTATTTAGATAATTCTGATGGCTGTGGAGGGGAAATTTAAAGGAACTTAAATACAGCCATGGAAAAGAATAGCAAAATGGATCAGTTCAGAAAAGAGATATGGGAACTAAGAGAATAAGACATATGGAAAATAAGGGATGTATTTGAAAACAACTGTGGACATAGCATGCTATCACTAGGGAGATTCGAGTACACAGAAAGAAAAATATTAAGCAAAAAATTAAGAAATTCTAGGGAGAGTACTCACTCTACCACTGAGCTGCAGTCCCAGGCCTACAGAAATATTCCGAATAACTAAAGAAAAATTAAAAATAATTCCTTTACTCTAAAACTCACAAAGTTAATTCATTTACTCAACACATGTTTCAGTTCCTGCTATCTGCCATACATACTTCCAGGCATTGAAGATACAGAAATAATCAAAACACACCCAAATCCCTGCCTTCACAGAGCTTACATTCTAGTACAAAAAACAAATGAAGAAAGAAATGAAGAGAATGAATGAATGAAGTATGTAGTAGAAAAATTAAGCAGGAGAATACTATCAGAGCTAGTACTAGAACTAGTACTTCACATAGCTTTCAGAATGCAATATAACTGTTACCTCCTTTGGGAAGAATTTCTTGCTTTTACCATGAGAATGCCATGATCATTGTTTGTGCTCCATTACATATATACATATGTGTACAACATATACACACAACACACACCCCTATCCTTCCATGTACTATAGCCTGAAGTCCTGATCATATGTAATTATTTTATACGTCTCTGTGAGTAGACATGTGTCTGCCCCTACAACCTTGTTTTGTACCTTCGTATCTGCCCCATATCAGGATTTAAGTAAAAAACTGTTCATTAATCAGTAAATAAATATAATGTAAGTCTGGTCTTTCATAACCTGTATTCAGGCACATAAGCATACACATAAACTCATGCCAAGAAAGAAACTACAAAAGAACCCTGGATCCAATATTCAGATACTTTCTTACATTAATCAATTTAATAAAAGTTCTTTAAGAACCTGTTTCAGGGCTGGGGCTGGGGCTCAGCAGTAGAGCACTCATCTTGCATGTGTGAAGCCCTGGGTTCAATCCTCAGCACTACATAAATAAAAAAAAAATATAAAGGTATTGTGTCCACCTACAACAAAAAAACTTTTTTTAAAAAAAGAACCTGTTTCATTCCACTGGAAAGAAAAAAAAAAGGAGCCACTCTCTGGAGTCAATAAGAATTTCAGAAGCAGGGCAAACAAGCTAAGAAAAGAGATTTAAGTATTTAAATACTTAGTAAATTCTAAGAGTTTAAAAGGAATACTCTAAGGCTTGAATTTTCATTCTTCAACAAAGAAGTAATTATACAGGTGAACCACTGAAACACCTGAAATGAGCTCTAGTCTTTTCAGTGCCAAAAAGGGTCCACAGCATACTGTGAAAGAGTTCTCACAAATAAAAAGCATTAGTCTTCTTTTAATTTAATAAACAGAATTTCATGTGGATCAAAACTTAGGTAAAATTACAACCCCTACAGAAAATTTTACCACTCAAAATTTAATATTCCATATACATTCAGACTACAATGCCCTGGTATTTACATATTTTAAAAGCTGTGCATGTGCACGTCATTATAGGTGCTATCACAGGCCTTACACAAAAAAAACACATGGTCAAGCTGTTGATTAGTACTTTCTTGTGAAGAAAGGCAGGACAAGAACCATTATTTAAAATAAAATTTCAAGAATAAGTTTAGTTTTACAGACAAGAAAACAGAGTCATCTTTTATGAGCCCACCTAATATACCCCTTACACACATGCATATAAAAAAATAATACCCTTCTATCCACTCCATCATCAGCCTCTAGAAAGACATTAAGAAATTAAAATATTAACAGTTCTACTTTTATAATTCATTTGTAGTTAAACTATTAAAATAACCCATTATTCTTTGCTGGTAAAAATTTCTACTGATATACTTAGGTGCAAAAGGTATCAGGTCAGGTAAAAGATCAACTAGCAAGTTATCCCTAAGCTATTTTCTTTTTCAGTTTTCCAGCTGTCTAGACAGATTTGGCTGCTGAATTGGAGGGGAGGAAAAGGAAGGCTATTTTTGGACTCCTATTTACTGCTAAAGGAATAAACATTCCATTGTGAAGGATCTCAAAAAATGAAAAAAGAAGAGTGGACACTAAGACTGTTTCCTTTGGACACATTGCCACCAGTGAGAAGGACCTGAAATAGATACAGATGTGCAAACTACCACGTAAGCACTGAACAAATACAAAAGATGCTGTGTGAGGGGTGTCTATAAAAATACTTCTCTTTTCATTTATTCAGCAGCAAGATGGCTAACAATTGAGCCCCACTGAAAGCTCCTGTTATATATGCTCAGTTTAGTTGATTCAAATTCTGCTTTTTTGATCAAGGACCTCTGGGTTATGTGTCACTGACCAGCTTGTATTTGATCACTGACACATTATTATTCTCACTATTCTCTTCTTTTCTACTAACCTAATATTAACATTATAAGACTGTTTGCCCAAATAGCTCCATATCATTTCATTTCAGTATTTATCATACTAGTTCTATAAAACATACTGCAGAGACCCTATTCTATATCAAGTTTGATTATCCACAGGATTTGAAATACTGTTATTAAAAAGCTTTGAATATAACAGCCTAGAGAAAAACCAGATCCATTTTGCACATACTTGAATATAAAAATAAAAGTGATTGTTTGTAATCATGATTAACGGGGAAAAATATTCAACTGTACTTTTTTTTTTTTATTGATTGTTAAAAACATTACAGAGCTCAAGACATATCATCTTTCATTCATTCGACTCAATTGGGTTTTGAACTCCCCAAATACATAATACAGACTCACTTCTGTTACATACTCACATTTTTACATAATGG